ACCACTACCACTACAACTACTACAACCACCACTACTACTACCACTACTACCAGCACCACCACCACCATCACCACCACTACTACTACTACTACTATTACCACTACCACTATGACCACTACAGCCACCACTACTACCACTGCTACCACCACCACCACCACTACCACTACAACTACTACAACCACCACTACTTCTACCACCACCACCACTACTACTACTACTACTACCACTACTACTACTACTACTACTACTACCACTACTTCTTCTACTAGCTAACATTTATATAGGACTTACTATGTGCCAGACACTGTGCGAAGCATTTTACAATTATTATCTCATTTGATCTTCACAACAACCATGGGAGGGAGGTGCTATTATTATCTTAGAGATGAGGAAAGTGAGGCATATAACGGTTAAGTGACTTGCCCACGTTCACACAGGTAGTAAGTGGCAGAGGTAAGATTTAAATAAAGGTCATCTGACTCCAAATCCAGTCTCTTTCTATGTTGAAATGAGGGAAAACAGAGTGAGAGGGCTTTAATTTCATTCTTTTTTTTTTTTGCTTTTTTGGTGAGGCAATCGGGGTTAAGTGACTTGCCCAAGGTCACACAACTAATAAGTGTCAAGTGTCTGAGACCAGATTTGAACTCAGGTCCTCCTGACTCCAAGGCTGGAGCTCCATCCACTGTGCCACCTAGCTGCCCCCTTTTATTTCGTTCTTATTGAAATAATCCAGCATTGAACACTGAGATTTGCTTAAGATGCAATTTGAGCAGTCAATTCAACAAAGAATCATAGATTTAGAGCTGGAAGGCCACTGTAGACCTTAGATGCCATTTAGCTCACCTCCTTATTTTACAGAGCAGGAGAATGAGTCTCAGAGAGTTTAAGTAGCTTCCATCTTTAGAATGGGAGCTCCTTGACGCCAAGGGTCCCTGTTTCCATCTTTCTTTGTATCCCCAGCAATTAGTAGAGTGCACATAGTTAAGTGCTTAATAAAATGGTTGCTGACTGTTATCTGACTGACTACTTGCCCCAGGTTGCACATGTAGTCCAGTCCCAGACACTCACTAGCTCTGGTATATTGGGCAAATCACTTAACCTCTGTTTGCCTCAGTTTCCCTGTCTATAAAATGAAGGTGATAATAATAGCACCTACCTTCCAGGATGTTGTGAGGATAAAATGAGATAATAATTGCAAAGTGCTTAGCACCGTGTTTGGCACATAGTAAATGCTATGCAAATGTTAACTAGTAGTAGTAGTAGTAGTAGTAGTAGTAGTAGTAGTAGTAGTAGCAGCAGCAGCAGCAGCAGCAGCAGCAACACTGCTAATTTTACTACTAGAAATCAGTAGGTGATTTTTAACATCCCTTCTAGACATATATTCTATGCATGCCTTTGGCTTCCACTATCATTCCTCGCAAACCACCCTATTTCTGTTTTCTCCAATACTGGAATGAATTAAGGTGCTGGTGCAGTGGAAAGAATGCTAAATTTGGTACCAGGAGCTAGCTAGGTTTGAATCCTCTAGCACTTATTATTGTTATTATTAATCATATATTTTATTAATTATTAATTAAAATGAATGCAATTTATTATTAATTATATCTACATACACACATTTGTGTATGTACATGTATGTATGTATACTTATATTTTATATATGTATATCATATGCATATAATTCAATTAGGTTCAACAAAGTTGAATCTCTGAGCCTCGTTTCTTCAAGCATAAAATGAGGGGGCCGCACTAGGTCACTTCTAAGGTCTCCTTCCAGCTTTAAATCTAGGCTCCTCTGCATCTCTGGATCCAGCAGCCTTCCAGTCATATTGTTAAACTGACCCCTGGTCTTCCCTCCCTCCTTGATGAGGATCTCCTCTCAGAGCTCTGTGGGCTAAATCCAAAGAGGGTGAGAGAAGGCTTCATGATCCTTCCCCAGGAATCAGCATCACTGAAGGCCTGTGGAAACACTCCCTTCTTTTGGCCAGCCCTTTGTGAGTCAGTCTCCTAGGAGTGAATCTCAAACCTGGGAGTGAAGTGCTCAGGGTGTGGCGAGCCCACTGCCCACCACGGTGATCCCTGATGCTGGGGAGGTTGGCTGATGTCCAAGCTCAGGAGCTGTGAGCTGCAGTGGGCTAGGCCAATCAGGTGTTTACACTAAATTCAGCATTAATATGGTTAGCCCCATAATATAGTAACTCCCAACCTCAGGGATTACCTGAGGATTGATGAACCAGCTCTCGTAGGAAAACACAGCAGGTCAAAACTTCCTTGCAGACTAGAGAGGAATCTGGCCCACGAGGAGCTGATGCTCATCTAGGCCTGGGTGAGATAGGAAGAACCAGTCTTTAAAAAACAAAGAAACAAATAATCCATGGGTGAGAAGGGGTGGGGAGTGACCTGTCAGTTGGTACCTCCCATTAGGGGAGGGCATGGTGTGGGTACCTCCCATTAGGAAGAAAAAAAATTAGCCATATAGATCCCTCTAGTTTCTCTGGCTAAGGGTTTAGGGAAGAAAGGAAAAAGCCAAGAATGCTGGTGCTAAGAGGGACTTTGGATTATCTGTAGATTTCAAATGTCCAGGCCCTCCCACCAGTAAAGTAGAGAATTGTACAAGGGATAGCTAGGTGGTACAGTGGATAGAACACTGGCCTTGGAGTCAGGAGGACCTGAGTTCAAATTTGACCTCAGACATTTACTAGCTGTGTGACTCTGGGCAAGTCACTTAACCCCAACTGCCTCCAAAAAAAACAAAATAGCACAAACCTCACAGAGTTGTTGTAAGGATCAATGTGCTTTGTAAACCTTAAGGTGCTGTTTAAAAAAAAACTTAAGTGCTTCACAGATATTATCTAATTTTAGCCTCACAAGAACCCTGATTATTATATTATTTTACAGATGAAGAAACTGAGGCAGAGATTGAGTGACGTGTCTAAGGCCATAAAGTTGGTAAGTGCTTAGGCAAGATTTGAACTAAGGTCTTCCTGACTCCTAGTCCAGTGCCCTCTCCATTACATTCCTGGTTTCAAGAAAAATCCTAACTTCTTGCAAAGGTGTGTGTCTGTCATACTACAAACTCCTGTGATTCTGAAAAGTATTTTCTCAATTAAGAACTGGGCTGCTTTCAGGCCAGGCCTCTGCAGCCCAGAGGATGCTGGCCTTGCCCCTTCCTTTGCAGATCTTTTTTTTTGGGGGGGGGGGAGATTTGCCAATGGGTTTAAGTGATTTGCTCAGAGTCACACAGTTAGTAAGTGTCAGTAAAGTGTCTGAGGCCAGATTTGAATTCAGGTCCTCCTGACTCAAATCCTCCTGACTCTATCCACTGTGCCACCTAGCTGCCCCCCCCTCCCCTTTTACTGACTTTTTAGGGCTGGGGTTGAGGATTGCTGGATAAATTTCCCCAGAACTCTCTCTCTCATCTGTGCCTGAGCCTGAGGCAGGGGCTGAGGTCAAGGCTGGTCAGTGTTTTGGTAGCTTACCCTATGACGGGCTGGCTAGGACATAATGGTCAGTTCAGAGGGACAGGTATTGTTATGCTCTCATTACCACACTTAGCTCCTCATAACCTTTCCCAGTCAGGCATCCTGCCTTAGGAACTCAGCTACTGTGGGAAGCATGTTTCATTTGGACTCAGAGGGTGTAGGTTCAAATCCTGCTTACTATCTAGGTGAGTGGGGTGCTGGCAAATGTTTAACAACTGACTCTCTGAGATATAAACACAACCCACTTTCACATTTAATCTTAACATTTTCTCCATCACTTTCTTAAGTCTAAACAATCAACAAAATAATCAATCAAACCCTGATCTGTAGTCTGCTGATTTCTGACTGATTTCAGCACGAAGCTGCTTTAGGAATTCTGGGCTTCACTTTCTTACCAGTAAAATGAGATGATTTAATTATAATGCCTCTAATGTCCTTTTTAGTTGTACCATCTTCCCTTTCTGGCTATACCTACGGGAGAGTTTCTGCTAGGAGCACTCCCCCTACAGGTCAATGCCTGAAATCATGCAAGAATTACAGCTCTAAGTTTGTAAAGGACTTCCCTCATTTACAGGATGAGGAAACTGAGGTCCAGGGAGAATAAGGGATTTGTACACGGTTACACAGGTGTACCAGAGGAGGGATATGAACCCAAGTCCTCTGATTTCAGAATCAGTGCTCTTTCTTTTGTATTATGATGCATCCCAAGTCTCCAATGCCTTACTTTCTTTTCCAGCTGGGAAGTCACCCTTTCAAGCCATTCCAACATTTATTAAGCTCCTACTGTATGCAATTCAATGTGCTAGGCACTGGGGATACAAAGATGAAAGCAAAACTGTCCCTGCCCTCAGTGAGCTTACATTCCATTGGGAGGATATAATATATATACAAGGAAGTAAATGTAAAACATATCCAAAGCAATTTCTCATTTCAAAATTGTATTTTTATTGTGAATTTAACAAACACTAAATATAATGGGCATCATATACACAATAGAACAGAGAAAAGAAAATTATACATGAAACTGAAGGTCTCAGTTATGAATGGCTTGTTTTTCTTTTAATATATAATAAAATTCAGCCTGTAGCTTTCAAAGCTATCCTGCTTGTCTGTGCTCTTTGCAGTTCAGTGGTATAGTGCGTAGAATGCTAGATTGGGAATTAGAAAGACCCTGGGTTCAAATCTGTGCTTAGCATAGTGCCTGGCACACAGTAATTGCTGGTTGACTTCATTAGCTATGTGACCCTGGGCAAGTCACTTCTCCCTCTCTTAGACTTAACTTCCCTGTTTGTAAAATGAGGATAATAATAGCACTTACCTTACAGGATTTTCATGGGAGAACAACCAGAGGTGTAGTGGTAAATGTTTAACAACCAGCTCTCCAGAAAAGAAAATGTCAGTACTCCACACCTTTAAATTTAATCTGTGTCATTAACATTTTTTCCCATCATTTTCTTAAGTCTAGACAATCAAAGAAAATAGTAGATCAACCTGGGTTTATAGGGTTTGCCGCTTTCTGAGGTGCAAACACCCATGATGAAAAATTTCCCAAGCCAGTTCAACCTAGCTGTAGCACATCCCTGTAACCGAGATAAATATATATTGTTGTTGTTTATTCATATCTGACTCTTCATGACCCCTTTGGGGGTATTTCTTGGCAAAGATACTGGAGTGGTTTGTCATTTCCTTCTCCAGCTCATTTTACAGATGAGGAAACTGAGGCAAACAGGGTAAAGTGACTTGCCCAGGATCACACAACTAGTAAGTGTCTGAGGCTGGATTTGAACTTAGGGAAGATGAGTCTTCCTGACTCCAGGCCCACCACTCTATCCACTGCACCACCTAGTTGCTTAATAAATGCTTGTGGCTTGATTGACTAATTGATTGGGATTCTATATGGCAATGTTGGATGCCATATGGAGGATCTAGAGTGTGAAAATCTATGGACTACCAGAAAGGAGAAGGGAGATTGGTGGGATCCTTCCCCTACTTTGCTCCAACCTTCCTCACTCCCTTCTAGCCCCCTTGAAACACATACCTATCCCAGCAGCCAGGAGGGAAAAAGAACAAGGAAGACCGGAGTAAGGGGAGACCTAGATATTCTCCACATCTATAGGCCAAAATTACTGACTTTTCCAATGGTTCCCTTGGGCAAGGTGGGACATCGTATTGAAAGGAAGGAAGGAAATTTTTAAGTGCTTACCATTTGCCAGACACTGTGCTGAGCACTTAACAAATATTATTTCATTTGATCTTTACGACAACCCTAGGAGGCAGGTGCTTTATCCCCATTTTATTGTTGAAAAAAAAATTGAGGCAGACAGAAGTTTAAGTAGCTTCCATTAACCCCAATTGCCTAAAAAGAAAAAAAATGTTTAAAAAAAAAGATTTTGAGTTCAAATTTTCTCCCCATCTCGCCCTCCCCCCACCCCAAGACAGCATGCATTCTGAATACCCCTTCCCCTAATCTGCCCTCCCTTCTATCTCCCCCGGCTTCTCTTATCCCCTTTCCCTTCTATTTTCCTGTAGGACAGGATAGATTTCTGTACTCCATTACCTGTATATCTTATTTCCCAGTTGCATGTGAAAACACTTTTTAACATTTGTTTTTAAAACTTTGGGTTCCAAATTCTCTCCCTTCCTCCCTCCTCACCCACCCTCACTGAGAAGGCTATATATATGTGTAGTCATGCAAAACTCTTCTATATTAGTCATGTTGTGGATAATCATATTTCCCTTCATCCCCACAACCCCACCATTTATTCTATTCTCTCTTTTGACCCTGACCCTCCTCTGAAGTGTTTGCTTCTGATTACCCCCTCCCCCAGTCTGCCCTCCCCTTTATCCCCTTTAAAACAAATGTTAAAAAACTTGTTTTAACATGTAATTGGGGGGGGGGAATTATATATATTTTAAAATTACTTCCTTAAAATTAAAGAAGTAGTAGTATTTATAAAGTGATTTAAGGTTTACAAAGCAATATATCTATATATCTATATATATATATATATATATATATATATGTACATATATATACACAAAGTATCCCAAAAGTCATAGCTAGAACTTAAAACTACAAGCAAGACTTTTGGAACATCCTGTATTATTTATATCTTTTGAGCCTCATGACAGCCCTAGAATAGTCCAGCGACTTACTAGAATTTATTAAATGCCTAATTTGTGGCAGGCACCGAGCTAAGTGCTGGGGATACAAAACAAACAAAAAACAGTTTCCGTCCTCAAGAGCTCGCTGTCTAATGGTGGAGACAAAACCAGCAAATAAATATGAACAAACCAGCTATAGACAGGATGAATTGGAGGTAATCTCCAAGGGAAGGCGCAAACATTGAGGAGGACTGGGAAAGTCCTCAAAAAAAATTCTTGAAGAAGATGAGACTGTAGCTGAGATTTGTGGGAAGCCAGGGAAGCCAGGAGGCAGAGATGAGAAGGGACAGAGTTCCAGGCATGGGGGACAGCCAAAGAAAATGCTGAGTCTGGCGAGGGAGGGATGTGTTCAAGGAAGACTAAATGGAAGAGTAAGCAGGGGGAGGAGAAACTATAGGAACTGTTGTTATTCTTATTTCACAAATGAATTAACTGACATGAAGGGAAATGAAATGACTTGCTTCGGCCCCACAGCTAATGAGAAGCCAAGGAAGGATTTCAGTCCAAGTCTTTCTGACTCTAAGTCAAGCATTATGTCCCATACTATGTGCTGATGCTGAGTGCTCAGGTGAGACCAAGATGTCATAGGTAACTCCCAGTATGGAAACTCCCTTCTATGAATGCCAATCGGAACCTGCTCTCTGTCTGAGAGAATTGCCAAGTGACCCTGAAGATGAAGCTCATACCAGCTGTTTCTTCAGCCAGTATGGGGTTGGGAGGGGTAAATGAGATAATATATGTAATGTACTTTACAAACTGTTCTGGGAGGGCAGCTAAGTGGTACAATGCATACAGCTCCAGGCCTAGAGTCAGAGGATCTGAGTTCAAATGTGACCTCAGAAACTGTCTTTTCCCTAAAGGGAAGCAGTGGGAGGTACCATTAGAAAAAGTAGATTGGGAACAGATTGTAGAGGGCCTTGAATGACAGGCCATGAAGGTGGTTGACCCTAATTCATGGCCTAGACAAGAGCAATATAGTATATCTAGGAACCAATTTACTTTTGTGGCCTACTGACCTCCCTGGCTTCCTTATAGTCCTAACTAAAATTCCACCTTTTACTGGAAGCCTTCCCCAACATCTCTTAATTCCAATGCCTTCCCTCTGTTGATTATTTCCTATTTATTCTGTATATAGTTTGTTTTGTATAGTTTATTTGCATGTTGTCTCCCCCACTAGATTGTAAGCTCCTTGAGGTCAGGGGCTGTCTTTTGCCTCTTCTTATATCCCTAGCACTTAGTACAGTGCCTGGCACACAGTAGGGCTTAATAAATATTGATTGATTGGGGAAGCTAGGTGGCTCA